GTGACCAATAAAATAAAAATATCTATTTTTGTGTCACAAAATATTTTTTTATTATAAAATAAAGATTTTGTTACACGAAAATGTTTCTATTCATGACCAAATTAGTGCCAACATGGATTAAATACCGATTATGAAATAAATATGTAATTATAATACTGATTTGAGATAAAATATATCACTTGATCTCCGCAAAACTTAGATAGGTATTAGTTCTAAGTTTATAATCTCACAACTGAATGTACGAAGTCTGAGCATAAAGGTGGTACAATTCCGACTGCAGATCACAGATTGCAACAACAAAGCCGCCGGCAGCTGCCGCCAACCCTGTCGACACTACTTGTTTCTACGAGTATGTAGGTGGTACCTAGTTATTTGTCAACCGACTACAAAAGGAGAGACTAAAATTTATATTAGTGTTTTTCTTAATTTCTGAATTACGTTTTTTTTAATAAAACATAATAAGTGTAATCTAAAAATATAATTTTAAAACATCACTTAATTTAATTTAATGTTAATTTAATTAAATATTTACATACATATTATTACTATATATAAAATGTAGACTATCTAATACGAGTATAGGTGGGTACAAATTTATTGATCGACATGATATGATATCGAAACTATTATTAATACCTCGTCACTAAGTTATAAAGAGGCCTTGTGACAAGCATATTGTTAAAGAATCCTTATTTGAGATGCCTTTATTTTAAAAAAAATCTTGCAATAAAAATGAAGGCTTTTGTTATCAAACCTACCTACACAAAATCACAAAGGGACGACTATAGTATTCCTTACTACGTAAACAAACTACACGGTTGAGTTAGGTACTTATATCGACCTCTTTCAAGATTTAGTTTCGGTGCATTAACAACCTACACAAACTTTCCGAAGATATCAAATCATACCATCATGCCTCAACCCGATGTTTAGGTACTCATTGTGATTTTATTAAAACAACTGATTGAAAGTAAAATGTTCATGCTCATAATATAATTAAATTATGTCACTTACATTATATGGTACATATAGGCAACAGAAAATTTATAAAAATAACCCAGTACAATTCACACAGCGCCAGTTAGTGCCAATCTTAGTAGAGCTAGAACTGGGTAGGTACTAGAATTCTAATAGAATTGCTTAATTTTTTTGTAATACAAACAATAATGAACAGCTAAACCGATACAAAGAAGCATCTATATATTTTATATGTTAAACAAAGTGCAAGTGCTATTTTGTTTGAAATAGCAGAATTAATATCTACATTAATCATAATATAAAAAGAACATTACATACGCTATATATACTCTTTTGTTTATTATTAAAGTCTGTCGTCAAATTGAAAATAGATTTATATTGTATGTCTTTAATATAATTTTTATTTGTTAATATTATTATAATATTTTATTATTATTAAGTTCTTGTTTATATTCACAAGTTTATATTAATGCTGAATTTTGACCATTGGGTACCACTGCCACTAAGACAAATAGATCCTGCTGCCATTGGAAATAAAGCGGTGTTCTAAACCGCTGGACCACCGCGGTTATCAAAAATAGGGCAACGCTTATGAATATAATTACCTCTTTCTGTAATTCGTACTAAATTAGTATTGTCTCTACACCCATGCAAACTATACCTTCACATTGTTATGAAGTGTATGCATAAAAATATATTACGCAGCAATGTTTGGCTACCTGCACTTACAAATACACACGCTCTCGAGAGCAGGTAGAAGAACCCAAGGCTGTTAATAAATCCATGAACTCGATTTGTGAACAAAGGGCGGTATGCGAATTATTCGTCCTTTTTACCATCTCTGATCGGCATGCGCGTTCACCTTGAGGCATGAACGGGTACCCGTAATTTCCCCTTTTGGCGGCAAGCGCACTAATACAACGTGGGGGCAATACAGAGGGACCCTCGTTCGGTTCACAAAAGAAGAATAATGTATTCTACTGCGTCACACAGTAAATATGAACATCATATACTCTACAATGTTTTAAGATAACTTAAGTAACGCAGAATTAAACTGCAAGTAATAATACTTAATCGAATTTATAAATAAATAAATTTGTTATTGTAAATATAATTATATACCATTAGTCATCTTTTAAATAAGTTAAAAATATAGAGAGGTCTCAAATCCATCAATGATTCCTTATGGAGAATTGACATAAGGTTCTTAGTTATCAGTTATTCATATACTAGCAACTCGCCCTGGCTTCGCACGGGTGTACATGTATTATGTACATATGAACCTTTTTCTTGAATCACTCTATCTATTGCTCAAAACTGCATTAAAATCCATTACTTAGTTTAAAAGATCTAAGCGAACAGACAACGGAAGCCACATACGACTTCATTTTATATTATGTAAAGATGTATAACTTTATATAACACGATATATAAGTCTATTTTAATATATTTTTCTCTTGTGATCCTTAATATATTATCCACCGATTGATTGATGATTAATTTGCACTAGACAGAGTTTTTTCACGTTAGGTTGGTCGGACTATTACTTTGATCCTAAATGAAGACGCTTATTTTGTGGATCGTAATGGGTACCTGGCAAACCAATGATAAAAAAAACGGTTGATTATTTCTATGAATGATTTTCTATTATACCTTATCTTGGTGGCATTTTTGGCACAGTTCTATAATAAAACTTCCTTTAACTAAAAGTAATGGAATTTCCCGTAATAAATACGATTTTTGTCTGAAGACTCATAGATATAAATTCAGTGCGGCGCCAAATTAAAAACATACACATTTTGTTTGAGTTACTTCATCATTTTGAATACTCTATATTGTAAAATATACTAAATATTTATAAATTCATTATTTATAAATATTTAGTTTATTATTTGAATTAAAACAAATTAGCAAGACAAGAATGTTACAGCAATTTTTTTTATTTACTATTTATTCTTCATAATAAGTAATAAGTTTGTGATAGATTACACAATATAACATGAGTATGTAGGTACCCAATATAATATTATAATAAAAATTTGCATAGATTCAAGGGCAATAAATGTCCAAACAAGTTTTCTTATTATATCCAAGATGTCAGAGTTCTTCAAATGAAAGTGACTGTTTGTAATAAAGTGTAAAATTATTACATTACCATCAATTAAGTAATGTAACCATTTTTTGAGATTATTTAACATATAATAAGAATTATGCATGATCCTGTGATGAAGCAAGAGCTCCATCAACAAGAGTGTGGCTATCAAATTATGAATGCATGAATGAATTTATATAGATAGTAACTCTCTAAGTTCAGAAGGAAATACACTTATTAATGGTTGGCACCGAGCACATGACACCCCTGGTGTTTCAGGTGTCCATAGGCTATAGTAACCATTTACCGTCTACCATATAGTAGTATTAAAAAAACACTAATAGCTCAACCGATGGAAGGTGGTGATAATCATCTCCAAGAGGAAATACAAGCAGTATTGAAATATGTTACTATAACAGTGGTATAAGACATTATTCTCACTTACTTGGTAACTTCAATACCATATTTTACCATAACACTTATAAGGCTAACTGCATGGTGGCAGATTTAGAAATACTGTAATATAATATTTACATATAAAATTAATTTAATATTAAATATGATAATTACAATTGACTATCTGATATGCAAACCTTCATCTGAATTTTTTAGATAAAGGACAACTTATGTCCATATCCTATGTTAGATATATCAACTCTATGTACTAGTAAAAGTATGTTTTATAATAAAATAACAACTATATAACATTAATTTAACTATGTCTCTAACACAATTCACTTTAGCAATTAAAATACAACCAGCACATCCTGTGCTCAAAGACTGAATGCTGCGGCTTACAAAAAAAACCCTCCCTTTTATAAAGAGAAGATATGAGTGGGGGTTATATGCAACTAGTTTAACGATACCAAATAGTAATGAAACTACCTTCTTTTAATATAAAATATCAGATTTTTCGACAATCTCGATGTGAACCCTAACACCATCTATGTATCTTCAAATTTCTTTAATATTTATTACTTTTTTAATGAAAAAGTAAATAAGTAACTGACAAACTTTATAATATCCGTGTGAGTTTATTATACACTGTAAGTACTTATTGAACAAACTTGGACCAATGTAAGAAAATACAAAATCACATTAACTATAATAATAAATTAATTCTTTTAAAGTGTGAAATGAGCATTAGGAAAATTTTATGAAGTTTCATTGAATGAATATAACAAAATAATGTTAATACAGATCAATAAAGTATAATATAATATGCATATTGGAAATATGTTTGATGTATTCAGTGTACATTACTAATTGTCCAAATAATATGATAAACTCTGACGATAAAACATTAAATACTACTAATGTGTACATACATAATAACATTTTAATTAATGGTCTTCTCAAATGTTAACATCGCATGAGATGACAAACAACGTTATATGGACATCCCACTCCAACATACAGCAGTTTACAAAGGCGAGAATAGGCTAAATAGAGTTACTACATTTGTTGCTATTTCAATGTCAAACAATGAATTTGTTTCTTTAGGTTAGAGATTGTTTTTAATTATTACACGCCTAGACATTCACAATTTTATAATTCCTTGGTTAACGTCATCAATTATATACATTTATTTTAATTGATTTTTTAGTGTTATTGAACACCGTGCAAGGAAACAGACACAGAAAAGGATGTAACCCTGACAACCAGCAGATAAATGTAGATTTTAGTTGTCATCATTGCTATTGGTGAGAACTTTAACTTTATATATTTTTATCACTGTTCTAATTCTAATAAATTAATGGAGGTGGTCCAAGTACCTATATACGCCGCCATAAATTGTGTACCACTTACAAATTGTAATGATACTGGGTTATCCTCTATCATGTAGGTACCGCTAGTGAACTTAAAGATGAGATTCGCTGACCTTTAACATGTCTGGTCACTGGTTTTAAATAATTCAAATATTACTCACAGGATAATACATCCCCTGCGGCGGCAAAAAAAAGGCCCCTGATCCCCACAGCTTGCCGTTTGTATTTACTTTGTACTGCACAAAAAATACACTCCACGTCCACCCCTGCTTGAGTGTAAACTTTCACAAACACTAACTTATAAATTCGAGGTAATCATGAGTATTTTTGAACAATTACAATGATTAGTACTAAAAATAACCAGGGTTGTTTGACTTTTTAGGTTATGTAGATATAGCGCGGAGGAACGCGCTGTAGCACTGAAAGCGGTTGATGTCGATGTGCAACAACGGACGGCGGGACGGGCACGCGTGGCTACTCCGAGTCGTCAGTATACAAATCGCAGCCCGTGCGACAAGGATAAAATATAGTCGGTTTTCTTCGGTGCTCCGACAGAGATAACAATACCATTATCCTTTTCACATTCATGACACACATTCATACAAGAAGAATGGGGTGGTGGTGTGACGGTGTGACCAACAACAAGACGAAAGAAAGAAAGAAACGGCATTTATTTTCACGTTTTCTAGTTTTTACAACCTCCTGGATTTTTTATAATTGATCGAACTTTTATCATAATGAAAGATAATTATAAGAATATATATACCTATACATGTAGATTTATTAGTATAAATTGGTACTAAATTACATCTTGAAATTATCTCTTAACTCTAAACTTGTAGATATTTCTTATATCAGATCTACAACTCTGTAAAAAATTTAACTATAAAATCTAAAAAACATTGAATCTACTAAATACAACTAAATATTTGCAATCAATTTCAATTAGCTATGATAAGAATAAAAATATTTTCTTTCCAAATATGTACGTATATTAAAACAGTTAAGCAGATATTTACAACATCCAAATATATTTTTTGTTATAATATACGACATTTACTCCAAACTGAACTAAATTTTATATATGTATAAATACGTAGGTATGCAGGTAAGTAACTTGCCTATTATTTACAGTAAAAAATACACTGAAGAATAAATGTAATTTTGCTGTGAAGTTTTATACGTCTGTATTTGTAATACCTGCCCACATAGTACGCAAACAATAATTCAATGTAAACGTGGAGCGAGTGAGAGGCTGCACGGTAGCTGGGCTCCCCAGCAATCCGTCCCTGTCGCGATGCCGAGAGTGATTCGGATCAATGAATCGTTCCCGGGCCCCCGATCCCAGCGTCATCCCAACCTCCATCTGCGTTCCCTCTCATTTCGCATCTACCTACCTACTTACTCTTGCAAGTCTCGCATGGGATCACTATGGCGCTTCAATCTAACTCACGTGAAATTCCAATTCGTTGGCTGTTCATAATAATTTGTTATATTAACTTAAAAAAATCAACCGGATGTAGCTTAAAGACCTACGAGAATATTTTTATTTTATCATTTACCAATTGCTGGAGTTTACTCCTATTCTCTTATGTACTTAGGTAGTAACTGAAGTCGTCACCTCAGCCTACACAGTCTACCTTTTTAGCTAGGTAGCTATAATAATATAGGTATATTATTGTCAAAACTGGCCGTTTTCGATTTTGCCTCTGTTAAAACATTATTTAATTTTATTTTCATGGAAATTATTGCGTATATCTTTGTGTGTAACCTGTATGTTGCCCAGCATTGCGGGATATTTTATATTTTAGGCCTATCTCTATGTTCTGTTTAAACGACTTCGACGGATACGAGTAACAGAGGGATCATGTATCTCGTAATGCGCTCCACTGATTCCGAGAAAATATATGTAACTAGGAGCTACCTACACCCTTTTTTATTATGAATATGATGTACCTACATTACTATTTGATAACATTTCATTGAAATTACATAGTTCAATTATATATATAGTAATGGCAAAGTAATTGTTTGTATGTCTATTTTTTTTAAATAAATAAACAAACCAATTTCTAAGTATAAGGCAATAATAGTTTGTAATAAGCGGAATAATTACATATAAAGTTGTATTTTTGATGATCCCATTCTCAATATAATTAAAATTCGTTTAAACATGTTTTAATACCCCTCAATATCTGTTTATAGATATTAGATCTTATTTGTGATTTGGCCCGCAAATATCCCTTCAAAATAATCAATGTCAGAGAAGTGTCAAATTCTGATGATTCCCGAAATACCTACTCTATTTCGTTCCTATACAGTTCCGACTAGACTACTGAATAAATAATAATACTGATAATAGACAAGCTGTAGAAGCGTCCATCTCCATACCCTCTGTCTTAAAATATAACGTGGGTATATTTAATAGCTACTCATGGACTGAAATCTGCATTGGTTCATATAATGGCATCACACTTATTTACTCGTATCATTAACAAAAACTGAATATTATGTCTATTTACCAAAGATAATATAATGTTACATATATATAACTATAATAGGATTTCTCTCCGATCGATTCCCTGTCCCAATCAAAAATCGAAATCATGTAGGCCTATGCCAAGGTTCGAATTTCTAGCGGCGCACTGGGACTGACATATCCGTCAGGTAAGATTTTCTCTTCAGCTGCACCAGCTGTGGTCAACATAATATAGTTCGAAAAAACACATTTACTCTTACCTACCTATTATATCCATCTATTGTCAAACGAAAAAGGCATTTATTTTCTATTGTATATATAATACTTAGTACCTAAATACTACCTTAATAATAATATTTTTGTTAGTGAGTAATCAAAATACCTAATAACTGATATGACTGCTAATGTCATCAGCCTCTAATAAACAATTATTGCTCGTATTATCTATCAATAAAGTTATAATAGAATTGTAATGGAAAGACATCTAAATGAAGTACCTACTGCGTGCAATGCTCAGATAAATCACCATGTGCTGGATGGCTTTATAAATGGCTGAGTTAAATGATTGGGACGCGTGAGGTCATGTCACGTGGTCGATTCTAATGATTTCGATGAAATTTAAATCGATTTACGTACATAACCTAAATCAAGACTAGAACAATTTAGTGAAGTAGCTAGTTTCACATTTCACATATAATCGAACACGGTAAAAATAACACTCTGAACTTAGAATGAATGCTAAACCTCAATACAACAATAATCATAAAATGCATCATACTGATAGGAGTGCAATAGTTCAGCTATTTCATGCTAGATGGCGCTATAATTCATTCGGTCTTTTGCTACAATAGAGTGTGTAACTCAAGAAAATGTTGCAATAAGATGACCGGTGGTATGGATGAGGCATTAATCCATATAAAACGGGTTACTATGAAAATTTTGTCCATGGGATAAGGCAATTAATATCAACATCTCATACAAGTAATTTTTATTAAGCCTGTTTTTAGAATTCGATTTTCACCAAACAAAAGAGCATATCTTCAGCTTATTTGTATTAAGAATATCAGTTTGTGTTTTTGTGTAGATATTCTTCTTTATGGTAGATAATGAAATGGTGCACCCGCCTGCGCTAACGGTCTACGCTGGCGGGGCACCAGTGGAGGACCATAAAAAGAGCTAGGTCAGTTAGGCTATCACGAAGAATTTATCATGACGGTTTCCAGGGGGATCCACGTGGAGGTCAACCTGACATTGCCATTGTTAGCACTCTTTGCTAACAATGGCAATGTCACCAGTTCCTAATCAAATAGTCCCCATTTACCCTGTTTTGTGTATTGGTTACTGTAGTACACTCTCCTTTAGGTAAGTGACATAGTTTGTTTTCTTTTGAAGATGCACACATTAAACAAATGTGTGCATCTTCAAAAGATAACAAACTAAACTTTTGGAAAAACAATAAAAACTTTAGAAACCCTATTAAGCTATCATCTCAACAGGATTGCAGTCAGTATACTCGTATTAAACTAGTAATGTATGTAATATGTAATTGAACATATTATACTAGGTTCATTTATTTAGCTACAAACACGTTTCTAATTCAAGTATCGCCATCTATTATTAAGTGTGTACACGGTATGTGAATTGTGTTTTTAGTTAGTTTTCTTCAACCGAACAACTGAGCATGCAGTTCATATAGTTTTCAAAATCTCCGCTAGATGCCAGTGTAGGTGACTAAAACTCTATAAATAACAGATTCAAATAAATTATACATTTATAAAAAAGCTAGGCTGTTAATTATCTTTGGTTTAAATTAAAATTATATTATAAAAGAGTCCGAAACCATTTTATACTACACTTTTAATAATATTTATGTGATGTTATGTAATATGTTGAATGGAATAAAAATATATTAACTGGGTTGATTATCTCAGGGAAAATATATTGAGATATGAGATATAATGTGAATTATAAAAACCATTTGGAGTATTTAGACCTTGTTTTAAACATACCTAAGGACCAGGTAATGTGAAACGGCTTAGTTACGTAATATTGTCTTATCTGTGGCTTCGTATTTATTATTTAACAATTATTTAAATACAAACATTGCTTTAAATTCTTTTAAATAATTAAAAGGGTAAAAAGCCTCCCGTTTAACGTTGGTAAATATCCGTATTTTTGCCCGCTTTTGCAACATTGATTAAAATTCTCACCAACTGAACAATCTAAATGTCGTTATGTTGACTTCATCTTCATCAGAACCGTCCTATCGTAAACTGTCTGCGCCGGGGTACAATAATGCTCTGGCTCCCTCAATACTTGATTTTTTTTATGATTGTGATAAAGAAGATTATGACCCAGGGGCTTTTCTTTGTAGTAGATGAAGACGGAATCGTGTAACCGCCTACATTAAGGGCAGGGCACGCACGCTATACTTATGTATAATAAACTGGTCGAGCATCAGTGGAAAGTTATAAAATGAGGATGGAGTCAGCTCAGTAAGACTATTGTGCCAAATTCTTCACGAATAATCACAACGGTTTACATTTAAAAATAATTATTGGTTACTAGAGTAACTTACTAGCACTATGTGGAGACAGTAAGACACATGCCCATTGCTATTGGCACAAAACTTATAACTGTTGACCAGTTATAAGTTTTCTGCCAATGGGCATGTGTCAATATAATAAATGTTACTGAATATATTTTATTTATTTATTTATTAATATTTTATTGCACCAGAAAGACAAACAATTAAACAAAGAACAAACAAATAATTAGTAATAAGGTACAAGAGGCGGTCTTATCGCTTAAGCAAACTCTTCCAGACAATCTTTGTGTAAAGGAAAGAAGACAGAAAGTGGTAGATGGCGCAAGAATGGACTGGAGAAATAAAAAAGGCATAGGAATA